TAATATTATTATTATTAGTATTATATAAATTATTAATATTGATATATAAATAATTAATATTATTACATAAATTATTATCAATATAATTAATAAATTCAAAAATTAAATATATCTTAAATAGAAGAAACCTTAAAATAATATCCCAAATATATTCTTACTGAGATATGAAAAACCAATTGTAATAAATGAAAATGAGATTCCACTAGAAATGCAAAAAATAAGTATTAAATTAAAAAAAATATCTGTAACCTTTTGATCAAAAATTTGTCAATAGATAAAATTTTGAATAAATCTAATTTCAAGAAGCAGAATTAGATTAACAATTAATTGAGAATTAAGCATGGTATAATCTAATTGTAAATATTAAATATTATATAGTAAGAGTAGCATATATCCAGTGAGAGAGAATTTACAAAGTTAATTATTTAAAGAGATCATTAGATAGAGGGTTATCATTCGTCCAAAAGAGAGGTTTGCTATTGATGAGAATGTATGATAATTTAAGGTTAACTTTTGCTGCTATTGAGAGAGGTTTGAAGGTGATACGAAAAGAAGAGAAAAGAATGGAATCAGAGGCAAAATTTTTGAAATCATAAACAAAGCATTTAGAGAATTTTCTAAAAAATAAGAGCAACATAATTAATAATTATTTATTCAGTTCTTTAGATTATAAATTGTTTCCTGATAATCATAATTAGATTTAGATTATGAATCAATTACAATTTCTTGAAATAATAGAATTGTAAATAGAAACAAATGTTAATTGATTATTTTGGAGTAGATCAATTTTCTAGTTATGCATTTAAAGCATATTTGAGTAAATACTATGTAGATTGTGGGTTAAGAATGAACACTCAGAATATACTGTTGAAATATTTAATAAAATAAATTAAACAATTGCTATAACTGCAAATTATCCAACAAGGAATGGTATGATCATATTTAATAAATGTATGAAGAAAATAACTGAATTAAATTAGGTGAAAAAATTCTTTTGCTTAAATGATAAATGCAAAACCTAATAATTTTTATAATTGTTCAATTATTAAAGAATATAGATAAAATCTAAATAGATTAAATGTAAAATTTCTTAATGTTTAATGTAAAAAATAAATCATTGGTTGCCTTCTTTCCTTGTCTTCTTCTTTTTAAAAAATTCCCCCCATTTTTTTATGACTAACCTTTTTCTTAATTATAAGAATATAAAGATCAATTGTTAATATTTAATTGAAGTATATTGAAATGTTGAATATATAACTTATCAAAACTTTATTTATTATAGTAGCTTAATGTTGAATATCTTCTTCACCTATTTATTAAGCTACTATAATATTAGAGGAAATCTTTATTAAGAACAATTAGAAATATAAATTCATAAAATTTTTCTCTAAATTTTATTCTTCAAATTATCATCTCTTCATTTACAATTCTGTTTACATTAATCAAATATTTTATTATTTATGCTAATTAAATATCATTAAGTCATCAGCTAAGATTAATTGATTACAAAAATAAAAATAATAATTTCAGGACTAATTTGTAAAATCTAATAAATAATGATTTAAAATAAATTTTGTATATTCAAAACAACTTTTAAAGATTGCCATCATCTGAAAAACAAATTATCCCTTCTAAAGTTAACATTAACAACTAAAATATTGAAAAATAATTACTTTATATTTAACTATTCTGGTTCAATTCTTTAAAACTTTCAAGCTGCATGCAATGATTAATGGTTTTATATTCAAAAAGTTAATCTACCTAAATTTGTTTAAGGGCTCAATGTAGTTAAAACTTTGCTTTATCAATTTTATTTTTTCCATAAGATTAATGTAAATATAATACTAATCCATTTCTTCTTAACATATTTCCACTACTCTCCACTCTTTAAATATTTATCTCTTAGATTCAGTTTTTTTTTTTTTTTATAATTTCAATGTTAGTTGATTTAGCAAATTAATTCATCTTCATTTTTAATAAACCATTGGTTATAGTTCTTCATCGCAATGATATGTTAAGAGTATTACAAAAGTTAAATACATTTCTAACTGCATCTGTTAAAACCTGTAGGCTAACACAATTGCGGGATCAAATGTTTAGTTTATTCTGTTTTACTTCTGACAGTTGCTTTAATTGATGATTGATTTGACTTTAATTTTATATCTTTATTTCTACCTTTCTCATTTATAAATTTCTTACTACATCAAATTTCTAAAATTTTTTATAATAAGTAATCATAATTATTTAATCTTAAATACAACTTATACAACTTGATATTCTAATTCAATTAAATTTTTCTAAGGCAAATAAATATCTAAGCATTTTGAATTACACAATCTATTACTAATGTAGGATTTTAAGCTCATCCTTTTCTTAATCTAAAAAAACATTCTATAAATAAACTAATTTTCTTAATTTTAAATTCTCCTCCTTATTACTATGCCTTAATAAACTTAAATATCTTCTAGCTTTTATTTCCAACAGAAATTATGTAATTGGATATCTTTATCAATACTAATTATTTATCAGCTTTTTGAATTAGATTTAAAGAATCTATATTTTAATCATAAATAATATCAATTAGGTCTAGAATTAAAGTCTAAATTTCTTAAGTGCTTCATTAACTTTCTCTAATTAGCAATATGTCACTGTTAATTTTTAATTGAAATTTATTAAAATGAGTGTATATGTTATCAATGAATATTATTGCTCAAAAATTAACTAATTTACCATATATCTAATATTATGTAATTCAATTTAAATATTACAAATCAAATTTAATCAAGATCAGAACTAATAACACCATAGTTTTTTATATATAATTAATTTTTAATTAAAAGGAGGCAGTCTTCATTCACCATTCATGCTTCTTCATAATTAAGCATCTTTTAACAAAAGTATTTATATAATTTAATTTAGGATAATTTAAGGGATATTCAATTCCATAGAGATATAAATTATTTAAATTCATCAAAAATAAAGATTTTTTAGAAGATATTTGGATAACCTTGTATTTTAGATATTTAAAATTGATTGAAATAAGATTATTTTGAATTTAGAAACAATATTATTAAAAAAAATAAAAAATTAGATTGAAATCTAATCTTTAATTAAAATATTGAATTATTACCAGCTTTAATAAATAATATAATCAGAGAACATTTAAAATCAAAATAAATCACTTATGTTACAGGTTAATTATAAGTAATACTCTCTGATTGTGAATAAAAGTTAAATTAAAAAGACGATGAAAATTCATAATAATAAGAAATTAAACAATAATTGAACAAAGATCTAAATGAAATTTAATCTTAGTAAAATTTAAATAAATCATGATTTTCAATANATTTGACTTTAATTTTATATCTTTATTTCTACCTTTCTCATTTATAAATTTCTTACTACATCAAATTTCTAAAATTTTTTATAATAAGTAATCATAATTATTTAATCTTAAATACAACTTATACAACTTGATATTCTAATTCAATTAAATTTTTCTAAGGCAAATAAATATCTAAGCATTTTGAATTACACAATCTATTACTAATGTAGGATTTTAAGCTCATCCTTTTCTTAATCTAAAAAAACATTCTATAAATAAACTAATTTTCTTAATTTTAAATTCTCCTCCTTATTACTATGCCTTAATAAACTTAAATATCTTCTAGCTTTTATTTCCAACAGAAATTATGTAATTGGATATCTTTATCAATACTAATTATTTATCAGCTTTTTGAATTAGATTTAAAGAATCTATATTTTAATCATAAATAATATCAATTAGGTCTAGAATTAAAGTCTAAATTTCTTAAGTGCTTCATTAACTTTCTCTAATTAGCAATATGTCACTGTTAATTTTTAATTGAAATTTATTAAAATGAGTGTATATGTTATCAATGAATATTATTGCTCAAAAATTAACTAATTTACCATATATCTAATATTATGTAATTCAATTTAAATATTACAAATCAAATTTAATCAAGATCAGAACTAATAACACCATAGTTTTTTATATATAATTAATTTTTAATTAAAAGGAGGCAGTCTTCATTCACCATTCATGCTTCTTCATAATTAAGCATCTTTTAACAAAAGTATTTATATAATTTAATTTAGGATAATTTAAGGGATATTCAATTCCATAGAGATATAAATTATTTAAATTCATCAAAAATAAAGATTTTTTAGAAGATATTTGGATAACCTTGTATTTTAGATATTTAAAATTGATTGAAATAAGATTATTTTGAATTTAGAAACAATATTATTAAAAAAAATAAAAAATTAGATTGAAATCTAATCTTTAATTAAAATATTGAATTATTACCAGCTTTAATAAATAATATAATCAGAGAACATTTAAAATCAAAATAAATCACTTATGTTACAGGTTAATTATAAGTAATACTCTCTGATTGTGAATAAAAGTTAAATTAAAAAGACGATGAAAATTCATAATAATAAGAAATTAAACAATAATTGAACAAAGATCTAAATGAAATTTAATCTTAGTAAAATTTAAATAAATCATGATTTTCAATATAACAAGACTAAGGTAGATAAATTTGATGGAAAAACATAAGATTTCAGAAGAAATTGGATAAGGGTCTTGATTAAGCCAGATATTCTTGAATAGTGTTAAATTTATTTTTGCAACTGATCTAATTTTCTTACATGCTAATTTTTAGATTTAAAAGTCGTCTTCAATATGAATAAATTTTAATACAAGATATCTATATTAAAAAGAAACAATGATTAAAATTTAAATGAAATCGATTTAGAAAATCATTCAAAGCATTGTTATGACTATAAAATCAATTTAAAAAAATTGCTGATGCATTGAAGATATATAGGATGTTAGCCTATCTAATAAACAAATTTATATTAATTTTGAATATGTAAACCACCCTATAATAATCAAAAATAAGGCAAAATACTTTTCTTTTTTTAATTCAATTAGTTCCTTAAGTTTTGAATTAGATAGTTTTATAATCAGTTTTGATTATTCTATGATAGCGGTGGTGAGAAAATGTTGAACAGAAATAAATTTTAAATTATATTCTGCAAATTTTATTTATCCTTTTTTATTATATAAAAAAAAATATATTATTACTCTAGATATAACAAGTTTAAGTTCAGTTTTTGTGTCTGAATTCTCAAATAATAGTGGAAATTTATAAGTGAAATTATAAAGAGCACTATTTACTATCCTCCATTAATTTCCAATAATATGAACAAATTCCCTGTATGTGATAAATTAATCTTTTCGTTCTCATTAAAATCAAGGATATGTAAAAACTAGCAAAATAAAATAAAGATATCAAAAAAATAAGAATTCAATTATTATCTATAATATAAATATTCAAATACCTAATGTTATTGATATAGATTTAAAGTGAATTTCTGTATTTCTAAATTTTATTGTTTCATCTATTTTTTAGAATGTATCTGATCTAATCAGTTTGCCCTGATTTAGATCAGCTAATACTATAAGAAAAGAGATAATAAATTTGTTGGCTTTTGTAGAGAATCCTGTCACAGCCATACCACAAAAAATCATCCATCCCATGTGATATTCCTTTAAAAAAAACAAAATTCACTTAAAGTAAAACAATAAAAATATTTCATTTCTTTTTTTCTAGTTTCTCTGATATGATAAATATTTGAAACTTTATTGTTTAACTTAATAGTTAAAATTGAAATTTGATACTGTTATTAAAATATTTAATAAATGTTAAAACCCAATTCAGTTTTAGCCCTTATTTTAGAGTCCTCTAAAAAGTTTGCATCTTCTTATTGCTTCACATAAGAATAATGAATATCAGATTTTTTTCACCTGAATTCAAGAAGAAGTTGTTAGAAAATTAGAAGGATGATGATGTTGCTCTAGTATTTGATTCTAAATATATGTTTTTTAAACTAAATATATTTCTCTAGTTTAGTATATTTTTCTATGTCCATAAAAAAGTAGAAAATTTTAATAAAAAGTTCTAAGTTGAAATAAGAGAAATATCTTATAAAGCAAATAATAAAATGACGTCTAATTATATAATATTTTGAGAAATTCATTAAAGAAAATTTATAATGCCAACTCATAAATGATTTTTCTATGTTTTAGAGCAATCTTCAGTCAAATAAATAATCTTAAATAGTATCTCTGATGCTATCGTTAGAATCAAGAATGATTCCTAAGAGGAAATTTTAAGATTAAACACTACTATTAACAATTAAGAGG